GCTTAGACAGGGAGAAGGAAGGAGGGAAGCAGACAGACTCAGTGGATTCCCAGGAGGTAACATCAACAGGATTTAACAACCGAGTAAAATAAGGATGGGTGAGGACCCAGAAGAGAGATGGTTCTAGGGCCTGCCTTGTGTGTGGCTGAAGGAGGCCATTCAGAGGCGGGAAAGACAGCCAGGGAGGAGGGCTGTGGAGGATGAAGGTTTGTTTGTGTCAGGTGAGGGAAAAAGAGGAGTTTCAGTTTGGAAGGACAAGGATGGTTATGGATTCCTGGTGGAGATTAGAGCAGCATACACAGAGCTCAAAGGCTGAGATGTTTTCCGTCTTAGTACCTGCTCCACTGGCCTCCAGGACCTGGCGGCCAGGCTAAGCTGCAGGCTTTACACAGACAGCACTGGGTTGTGAGCTTGCTCCCTTTCTTAGCATCAGACTCATCAGGGGGAAGTCCTCCCTGGGTGTCCCAAGGCCTCATGGGGAATGTCCACAACCGATGCCTTGCCTTTTTTTTTTTTTATTATTATTTTAGAAGACTAAACGGTGTCTTTCAGTTTTAAGTTGTTGGCAATTGATTCAATTAAAAAAAAAAAGCCAAAAGATGGCAAGTATCCAACAGAACATGTCCACAGGCCAGATCTGCTCTGGCCCTGCTGGCCAGAGTCCTTGGGTTAGAGTGAGAAGTGAAGCTGAGACAGACCCTCCAAGCCCAGGAGTCCTACAGTGTTCTTCAAAAATGCTCCATAAGAGGGCCAGGGAGATGGCCTAGCAGGCAAAGGTACTGGCTACCAATCAGGACAGCCTGAGTTCAATCCCCAGAGCCCACATGGGGCAAGGAGAGGAATGACTACCCTAGTTGTCCGACTTGCACAAGCAGGTTGTGGATACATACTGTAAGACTTCTCCATATGGCCCTACAAAGACAACCACGTACAGGAGAGAGCAAAAAACAGACCCCAGGCATCAAGATTGCAGGTTCAGTGGGTCTAGGGGCAGCCCAGGGTGGATTCCACTAAGTGCTGTGAGTTATTCTTGAGGCATGCCCAAGTGTATGAGAAACTGAATTACGAAGGAAGCAGAAGACAATGGCCTAGAAAACAGGAGAAAACTAGCCCAGGCTAAAGCACCAGAGTAAACAGAGCCACAAGATGGCTGCCAGTGGAAGGACGCTGGTTCCCAGGAAGACTCCTTTTCATCTCCTACAGTACATCTTTGCCCCTCCCCAGGGAAGAGGGATGCTATCTTAACTCACGGTTCTGATGGAGCAAGCAGAGCTGATGGGCCTTAAGAGGTCGGTGCACAGGGACGTGATCTCTGTGGACTCTTCCAGGCCTAAGTGGAGAGAGGAGTAGGGCTCGTTCTCTCTAGCTCTCCTTGGAAACTGCCTTGTCCTTCATGACCTAAGCCCTCCACCTGCTAAGGCCAGGGTGGTGCCAGGCATGGGGGCACAGGTGCTCCATCTGTTTTCCCCTCACAGTGCTAGTGCTAGAGGGAAGAGAGGGATGGGATTTAAGGTGAGGCTGAAAGGTCTCAGAATTTCCTTTAGTCTGTGATCACTTCTCATTGGCTTAAGAAGGAATGCTTTGAGGCTTCCTCCCCCTCTCCCTGCATCCTAGAGGGACTCCACTCTGGAAAGATTAGCCATGACACTTTCTGGTTTACTCTCCATGGATTCTTTGGGAAATGCACTGAGGAGAAACCAAGAGTTCTGGGCTAGCATCGGCTATTGTTGAACCTCCCTGTCTCCTCCAAAACCTATCAAAGGTTTCTAGGGTCAAGACTGTGGGGTGCCCAGCCCTAAGACAAAGAATAAAGAGTGTGCCTGTGTCCCATAATCCAAAGACCACTAGTAATCATGAGAGAATCCTGTCTGTGGCACAGCATGACAGGAGAGGAAGAGAAGCAGGGGACGGGGAGAGCTGGGGAGGCCAGAGCTCAGAGCAAGTCCTGAGAGCCTTGGACTGTCTAAAAGCACAAGGGTGAGATGAGCCTGGGTAAAGGCTGACAAGAGCAAAGCCATGTTCCCAAATCAGCTTTAGAATTTTGGTAGCAAAACCTGGAGGATTTGCTGCTGATAGCCTCCTCCCTCACCCATTTCCCACCCCCTCCTGAGGCAGGGTCTCATTCTATAGCTCAGGTTATCCTCATCAAAGGAATCCACTGCTTCAGCCTCCTAAATGCTGGGCTTACAGGTGTGAGCATCACGCCCAGCCTACCTGGCATCAGAGATAATATCCCAAGGATTTAGAGGATGGAGTTTTTAAGCACACACTGGGCAGGCAGCCAGCCCTGAGGATACTGAGGCACGGGGGACTGAACTTGGCTTGGGGCTGCTGATCCCTACCTGTCTCTGAAACAGATTCACGTGTGACAGTGACGCCTTTTACACCCACTGGAAAACAGCAACTGACACACTCCATCTGGGGCTGAGCACACTTGCGTCACTAACCTAAGGATCCGTTTACTTACTTCAATGAGGGTGGTTTCTCTAAAACATCAATTCACATAGAAACCAAAGCAGTAAGCTTCCTGGATCTCTGGATGAGCCCCACTCTCACCATCCCCCAGAAGGGGTGGCTACCCCCTGGTTGGGGAAAGCTGCCATCCAGTCATGATTTTCAAGGTGTGTTCAGGAAGCCTTGGGGGAAAAACGAGTTTGGAAAGTCTGGCACAGCACCCCCTCTTGGAGACTCAAAATACACTCATAGAGTGAAAGCTGAACAGGAGAAAACTTTGGTTTTGTCTCAAGTGTTTTAAACCACAGGAAACCCCACCACCACCACCACACACACACACATTCCTGCCACTCAGGCTGCTGTGGATGACAGACACAGCGTGGTCTCGGGAGCTCCTGGTGATCTGCTTGGTACCTTCAATATGGTCATCACTTAAACAGCTCTCTCTGGAGGCAGATCTACAGTCTGTTAAAGAGAATAATTCATGGCATAGACAGAGTATTTGGAATCTGTGAGAAAACCCACAGTCCAAGAGTCGAGTTAACTCAAGTCCACAGTGTACCCAACAAAGCTGCAGACAGCACTCTCGGGTCCAGACACCGCCTTATAAGGTGGTCTGACATTTTCTCATGGCCCAGATTGCCCTCCAAAAATATCCAGAGACAGCAAGAGTGGGAAAGGCTCTCCCGGGGCATTTCAAATAATCACATGCAGGCTTTGCTGCTGAGTGGTGCAAACACCTGCTTGCAGCCCCTCTACCCCCATCAAAGCTCTGGGCGGCAGAGTCCTTGACAGGAGGGCACTAAGGAGAGAACACGACCCTCAAAGCGTACACCCAAGCTGCTTTCTCTCTGTACGCCTCCAGAATGTGCTCCAAACCTGTCTTTGCTTTATATGGACAATAGATGCGTGACTAATTTTCATCTGTGTGCCTTTCTACCCCTTCCTATCCTTGGGCTGAAGCTGTTTTCCAATGCTCCTGAAGCCCACATTGCTTGGGAGGTGCTGCCCCCTAGTGGGGAGGACTGATCAGTACAACGCGGAGGTGTAAATGGCGTTCCAGACTGTTCAACAAGGCTGTGACTGCAGTACATCTGGATTCCATCCACCCACTGCCATACAGATGTGAAGGTCCTGCTGTGGAAAGGAGTCTATGCTCTAGAATTAGGGAGCTCCAGAGAACAAGATGTTTTATGAAACGGACACCAGGTGCTTCAACACAAAAGCTCCCTGGGAGTCACTGGAGAGATGTACCTTTTGTAGTACATGTTAGTTTTGGTATGGAGTTTTCCCACATAACACCATGGGTGTCAAGCTAAATAGGAAAAAAAGAAATAGTCTCTCATATTTTTCAAACAAAGTGTTGGTTAAAAAAAAAACAAAAGAACTTCAGGGCTCTCGAAGAGGAATGTTAATAGGTATGGCTATTTTTGGTAATAGTTACTTACAACAGTTTCTTCACTACCAAATGGTTTGACAATGAGCCAGGCTACTTGTAAGGCTGGGATTAAAAAAATAACAATTATGATGAATTGCAATGCTGGTTTTTACTCCTGTTAAAGGAACAGAACCCAGCAGAATTTCTGGAACACTGTGCGAACAGGTGGCTTCCTAATTACACCATACAATTCTCCCACAACAAGGCTCATGTCAGCATAATACACACAATTGCCACAAAGTAGACAAGTAGGAAAGTAGTAGTAGGAAGATCCAGCTCCCACCACCATGCTAAAACTGGAAAGGCTGTGTACACAGGCAGCCTTGATCACTGGCTTTCCCACTTGCTGCTCGGAGTCAGTCTTCCTAAGTGAGAACAAAAGGTCTTGTGTAGTCAAACGGCCATGCTTGGGGGCAGGGAGAGATGACTGTCTCCTTTGGGATGTTACCAAGCTCTTTGGAAATGACAGTGGTTAACTCTGAGAAAGACTGCAGATTTAGGCAAGAGCAAGGTATGGCTGCAAGCACAGGAGAGGAAGCAGACAGGGGACTTGATGAGCCTGTTCATGGAGACTTCTCTAGGAAAAGAAACTGTGATCCAGAGTGGTAGGGTCAAAAGGACCCTGCTGGGGACATTCTAACCCAGGTCCCTCCAACACTTGTGTTTAAGTTTGACATTGTAAAAAACTCCCAGGAATGTTCTGGAATTGGAGCCATTTTTAGAGGCACAAGAACTTCACCACGTGTAGTTTTCATGAAAGACAGACACTGCTGGGAAACGGTTATCTGCTGAGTTGGGGCTCAGTGCAATGTTAGAAAGCTGAAAAGGAAATGCCCTTAAGAAACCGCCCTGAGCAAACAAAACAAAAACCTCATTGTGGGACCAAGGTTCTTAACTTCTTCTGACTAATGGTTTAGATTTCTTGGTTCCTTGAGGGGCAGGGGGTTGCTTGAGTTGTAAGCATGTTGGCATGCCAGCAGCCTGCCTTGGTGAATGTGAAGTCTAACTGGCAGAGAGAAACACTTTAATAAAGTCTATGTCACAGTTTAAGTACAGAACCAGTAACATCAGAAACAGGCTTGAAAATTGTCAAAGAACAAGCTGGGTCCATAATGGAATGGGAGCTTCCACACTCTTGCACCCTGGCTCCAGATCAGACCCAGGCAGAGCACGCACCCATTTATTTTGGAATGCAACATGTACCAGTGTTTTATGAGTATAACTTATTACTACAGTAACATCAGATAAAAACAGCTTTCAAGTGCATGCATAGAAAGTTAAGCATAATTTTTTGAGTGCCTTATTTCTAAATATACAAAAAATACATTTAAATTATATAATTTTAGTGAATCAAAGACTTATAAAATTACAATTTTGGTTTTTACAACATAGAAAAAATACAAAATGACTATATATATATATGGTTGTATAATTTTTTACCCAAATTTCAAAGGAGCAGCATGTACTGACTTTGATGTTTTATAATGGTTTATCTGAAACTCAGAACTGAGTATATTTTTCAGGTTGGACCTCAGCAACGCTAGGCTTTAATAGAAATGTAAAGCCAACACAAGTGAAAAGCAAGGCACGATTGCCTCATCTGGCCCTCTGACCGGCATGGTCTACACCATCCTCTTGTTCGGTTTGCTTTAGAGACTTTTCCTGTCCGGGAGGACAGTGCTTCACTCCATGAGTAACTCCGTGGGGCCTTTGATGATTGTGGTCCCTGCCTCAGCATGATGCAGATTAACAACACAAGTCTGCAGAAGGCTGCTGTGCACCTCAAAGACTCCATCCCTTCCACAGAGGGCCCCTGGGGATCTGACCTGCAGTCAGGTGGGTGCTGGACTGACTCTAATTCTGACAAAATAGCCACTGAAAAGTACCTTCCTCATTCACACCTCATTAGATGTCACACCTGAGGAAGCTGGAGGTTCTGAGTTTAAAGGGCATGATTGTCTCAAGGAGAAATTAATTCATGTTAGGGATGAAAAAGGAAAAAGACCTAAAAGCTAGCTACCCAAGAGGTGTCAGAAGGACACCCTGCTGTCTGCTGCATCTTAAAGCATGCGTCAAGCAGACGCTGGATTGAGACCCTTTCTGAGAGGGAAAGACTGTATTCTTATTGCTGTAGCTCAATCTGATGCAATTCAGTGAAGCAGATGTAGCAATGAGGAAGGCAGGCCCAGGGGTCCCTTGGGCTGGATGACCTGCCTCTCACACCACCTTCTGCAGGCATTCCAACATAACGGTAACAAATCTCAGATACAGTAAAAAGGCTGGTGAAACCCAAGTTGATTCTGTTTCACAGAAGAAATACGATTTGGAGGAATAAAAAGGGAGAAAAAGCTGAAAAAAATATTTCCCACATATTTGTCTATCAAATACCAGAATAGATTCTGAACGACACAGCCAAGTCAAGAGAGCTGACTTGAAACAGAATTCTAATGTTCAGTTTGACAATAACTTATTACACACCTGCCTGCATTAGCTTTTCAAGCTCCTATGAAAATATGCATTTGAAAATGTAGTTTTCATTATATTCTTCTGATTGGAACAATTATATTCTAAATGACAATGGCAAGATATTTAAAGTCTTAAAGATAAACAAAAAAAGGAAAGAAAAAGAAAGCAAGTGGAGATCTTATTAAGAAGGTACTGTTTAAAATTGAGTGCACATCTAAACTTGGGCCTGGTATTCATCTGAACCTTGTTTTCTATTTTTAAAGAGGAGTTTTCTGGGGGCACTGTGAGAGCAGTGGGCTGGGCAGGACCTCAGCTTTGCCTGTCTCCTCCAAACTTTTCCTAAGGGTAAATACACAGGTGAGCCAGGAAGTGCTGTGAAGACACTATCAGACAGGGGCCAGTCACAAGCAGCTGGTGGCTGCTCTGACGCTTGGAGGAGACAGTACTACCTTTAGCTTTTCCTAGAACATGTGCTGTCTCTGGACTTACAACGTGGATGAGAATTACACAGGAACACAATCAGGAAAGGTACCTAAACAGAAGAGTAAAAAATTAAAATAAAAACTAAGTATAAACTAAGTATAAATCTATTTCTGAATGCCTTCTGTGGACCATGGTGGTAGAGCAACACTTTCCAAGTACCCTTAATTATAGATTTCCTCCTTCTGTGTGATGAGATGGGCTTTGAGTCTGTCAGGAAGAGTCTCGCAGGGCAGTACACATCCGTGCTCTGAGCAGAAGTACACGGAAAGTACTCAGCACCTCCCAGGCACCAAGCCTTCCCCTCACACTGTGGCTTGTTAGAATCCAACTGGAGCCGAGTTCCACGCAAGAGTCTTTATAGTTTACACAGACTTACTAAGTTCAAGCACGGCTCTCAGCAGCAGGCAGGAACGACTCAATCGAAAACAAATGAAAGGCTTTTAGTGGTTTTCTGGTTACAGGCACTACCCAAAGCTTCATAGCCATATACGTCTCATAACTCATTCACTAGATATGTGGGGCTAGGTCCTAGCCAGAACTTCAGAGCATTCCAGAGCAGTTTCCAGCATGCAATCAAGCACTTTGAGAAGGGGAAAGCTAACCACACTGCAGATTCAACCTAGCTTCTGCTGCAAGCCGGGCAGTCAGTCAGAGCACTGCCCCTCAGACTGTAGCTCTCGGCACTGGGTGTGCACTCTGTACTGCCAGATGAATGGAGGACGGAGGAAATAAAGGCTAACCCCCTTCTAGCGCCATCATAGGAACTGGCAACTTCTGGTCAGAGCATGCTGAAAGGACCAGCTAGGATGCTTTATGTAACAGACTTTTACATTTTTAATATTTTTTATTTTTTATAAAATCCCAGGCCCATGTGACACTGGATTTTGGTTTTTATTTTGTTTTGTATTTAATATTTTAAAAATAGTTCTTACTGGGAACTCAAAAAGTCTGCAGCATTTTTTGATCATTGAAAAGTGTGGTTTGGGGTGGCGTGGAGAGCTACTCAGACTTCCTGTGCTCTTCGGTGTGACAGAGGACCTTTCTTCTCTGGCGTATCATGTGGAAGTACAACTGGGGGAAAACTGGAAGACAAGAAACAACAGTGGTTAGTGGGGCCTCTGAAAGCTCTGTTCACTCAAAGTGTGCAGTCCTGATACTGACTGCTTTCTCGTCCAGTGACCAGTGGCAGCAATACACAGCAAAACAACAGGAGAGGGAGGGACACATTGCTCCCTTCAGTTGAGGGGAAAGCTGTATGTAATGCAATGGCAGACACTATCTTCACTGCCATAACAGTCAAAAGACATAGGCCACCAAATAAAGTTATCACTTATGTTGGAGACTGAGACCAGAGTTTCTACCACTGAGCAATGTCCCCACCTTGTTGATGTTCTGCTTACCTTCACATTTATTCTGGGTAATTTCAGAACAACCAGAGGGAGACTTCTGATAAAATCCTTCCTATTTCAGAGGAGGAATTATAGGCCCAGAGAAGGTATACAACATACCTAGGGTCTCACAGAGAACCTGGGAGGATCAGGCTCTGGGCTTGAACTGTTTAGTCTGTCTTGGGGTGGAGGTAGGAGCATGGGGGGAGATAGCAATCACCCCATGGCACTTCCTGAGAAACGTTGCTCCGTGGATGGCAAGAATGACGAGGGAAAGGAGGGCTACAAACTCTGGCTTAAAACATGACAAAGCAGGGTTGGGATGCAGAGAAAGCCAGTATCTTGGACATCAGGTATGGGACAGTCTCCTGTTCTTGGTATTGGTTCTTAAAAGAGGGACTGCCTCCCTAGAGAGTATTTGGCAAGTGGGTTGGAGCTATTGGCATTTGGCATATGAAACCAGGAATGTTGAAATGCCCCCAACTAACACCTATTCACCACAAATGCCCAGTGGAGAAGAGCTGGTTGGAGCAACCTGGCCTTCACATGGCCCCTGCAAACTGGGCATTCAGTCACCACGTGGCTCCTGTTCAGTCCCTTCCTCATCCTTCCTCTTCTCAGTGGAGACATCTGTTTTTCAGAGTAGCCTGTATCTGAGGGCAGGTGGTTTCTATTATTGCCAGCTCTCCTGGGATAGTCTCTTCCTTACTTTTCAAATGGATTCCAGCCTGATCACTCTTCTTTTCTTTTTTTCTTTCTTTCTTTTTTCTTCCCTCCCTCCTCCCCCCCACCTTTTCTTTCTTTGGCAGGATTTCTCTCTGTAGCCTGGGCTGTCCTGGAACTCAGGCTGGCCTTGAACTCAGAGATCTGCCTGTCTCTGCCTCCCAAGTGCTGGGATTAAAGATATGCACCACCATACCTAGCTCCAAGCTGATTAAAATTCCAAAATTCCAGTGTCCCCCTACAGAACACCAAGCTGTCAGGAGGTAACCAGAGATGTAGCCAACAGCCCCAAGGCCGCTGCCACATGCACTCACAGTTACTGTGAGGAAGTTACTCACAGAAAAGCTCAGCTTATGCGGAGAATTCAACAGTGACAGAACTATTTTGGTATGAAAGCCAGAAAATTTGACAAGCTCTATAATCTAAAAACTGGAAGTAAGGATATAATTAAGCCATAAGGAGTGCTAATTGTAATCATTTAAAAATGCAGGGCCAGCCACACTGCTAGCTCTCCCTTAGGAAAGGGACTCTGAGCTAAGCATGCTGAAGACACCTTCCCTTCCCCGGCCGCATTTGTGCCTGCTTTACCCAGAGGGTGGTAATGTTCCAGTGGCTACTTGAGAGAGTGGGACTGAGGGCCATTCCATAGGTCCTTCAGTCCTAAGGGAAAAAAATCGAGTCTATCACCAGAGTCACACTACAGAAATGAGGGCAGATATGTGTGTGTGTGTGTATGTGCGCGCGCGCGCGTGCGCGCACGTGTGTGCGTGTGCATGTGCTGTGGTGCATGTGTAGAGGACAGAGGACAAACTGCAGGAGTTGTCTCTTTCATTCAACCATTTAGGTTCCAGAGATGCTGCTCAGGTCTCCAGGCTTGGCACCTCTACCTGCTGAGACACCTTGCTGGCCCAGGTGTGGCCCTTTTCATTCTAGTACAGTCTGCAGAGGCCCCTAGTGCTCCAGTACATGGATGTATGTGGGAGAGAACAGTGGATGCTCTTGGACTGTGTTTTAGTTCCAGTGGTGATGTCTTTATCAGAATGACCACTGTGCTGAGGACAAATAATTCCTGACATATGTAACTCTATCCAGCCATGCTGATGAAAGCCTTGACAATATTAACATGACTAGGCAGCTGAGAATCTATCATCTTGTGTTGAGCCTGAACTGGAAAGCAGGAAGCAGGAGGAGCAAACAGTCAAGGCTAGGAAGGCAGAGCTCTGGCTTTAGACACAGGTCAGTTGCACAGAGCACATGGTTCCCTTGCAGAGTACCCAAGTTTGAGTCTCAGCATCACATAGGGCAGCTAAAAGCATCTTTAACTAATTTTAGTTTCAGAAGATCAGATGCCTCTGGCCTTCTCAAGGATCTGAACTAACGTACTTATGTGAACACACGTCCCACCCATAATGAAAAATAAACCTTAGCTGAGTTAGTGGGTAGAGGCGCTTGCTAATCAAGTCTGACAACATGGGCTTGATCTCTAGATCATATGGAAAGAGAGAACTACTCTAAACTTGTCCTCTGACCTCCACATGTGTGCACCCACACATATTTCCCTAACAGATAAATAAGCATATGAAAACAAAGTCAATCAGATTTCTGGGCTGCAGACACAGGCTAGTGGGCGAGGACATGCCCAAAGCCCTGTGTTAATTTGTAGTAATCCCACCGTTAAAAAAGAATGAGGGCAGAGTTCTGACCTAGGCCTGTGCTTGATTGTCTCTCCCTGAAGATCAAGATGGAAAACCCCACAGGGTTGGCTGTGTTTTCCAGCAGGGGCCCCAGTGTCATGGAGGGCTGCTGTGTCTGACCTGACAATCAGCCTCAGTAGGGCAGCAGGAAGTCTTGGCAAGGCTGGTTGCCAGGGAGAGAGGAGGGAGGACACCTTGGGAACTGCTCCTGGAATAAAGGCCTGGCCAGCAGTCGGACTCTGGAGCGCCATCAGTGTGAAGTCCCCACAGAGGTGTGAGTGTGTGATGCCTTCCCTGCCCTTTCTAGTCATTCAGAGTGGGACATATCTCCTGCTTTTAAGAATAGAAGCACATACTGAGGTGGCCATGGGGTGCTATTCTCAGAGTAGTAAAATCACTGCTGCCTTGCTGCTTTGGAGCTGAAAGAACGAAGCTCCGGGAGCAAACCTCGAAAGGAAAATTCATGTATTTGCCTGTCATGTACATTTTTACTATTCCAGATTTGCCTTTTGTTTCAATATCCAGCACGTTTTCTGAAGAGGAATGGCTGTTAGTCACCAAGATTTCAGCATTAAAGGAAGGTTTTGGTAATGAATAGAGTGGAAACTGAATCATGAAGCAGGACTGTGTCCAAGAATTTCTCCAAGATAAATGTTCAGAAGAAATCTGGATGGAATTTTTTTTCTTCACAATGCGTAAAATGCAATTTTCTACAAAGGGACACAAACATGTCATTTATGATGGTTAGGGTGACTCACTGAGATAATGCTGGGGACTAAAGAAATAAAATTTATCCCTGCTTGAACTCAGTGGGGCTTCGGGGAGACTAAGACCCACAGTGGCTGCAGTATAGTGAGTTGAGCTTGGTTTGTCCTTGGGTCTAACAAGGTCCCTTTGGAATCTAGAAACCAACCAGAGGAGCTGCAACCGAGCAGAATCAGAGAAAAGGACACACTCCTCATGGTCAGCAGCCACAGCTCCCCGACAGCACTGTCACATGTGCCCTTTCTGCTCTGCTCGTGTGCTCAGAGGTACATTTGATTTTCCGTACATTTAAGCCATCAGAGGTTCTATTAGAATAACTGGAAGCCACACAAAGGGAACACTGTGTCCTATTCTGAGGGTTTTGTACTCAACAAGAAAACGAGAAATGTAGAAAAAAGATACATCTATCTTTATTTTGTTATTTGTTTCTGGTTAGCGCTACTGATCTCTTGAAGTAAAGTGAAACTGCCTATTTTGATATACTGAGCAATGCAAACATCTTTTTACAATGTTTTTCACAAATCACAATAAAGCAATTCTGAAGAGACAGGAAAATGAAGCTAAGGTAGGGTCATCACTGTTCTCTCTTTAGTACTTGGCCTAACACAGGGGTGACCTACACACTGAGAAGGGATACATACTGGAGCTCTACAGAAAAGGGTTCATCTTTATCCAATTACTGCCAGGGAAAATTCCCTCTGAAAATCAGTGGTCAATAAAAACCAAAGCATCCCCATAAATGTGATTTATATTACATACAGAAGAAAGACGTAACCCTAGTTACTGCGGAGCTGACCTTTGTCACATAAATATACTTACGTGGAATGTAGGAGATCATGATCAGAATCAGGAATGCATGGTAGTCAAAGGAGAAGTTGTATTTGTTAGGTAAGCTGATGGAGTACAGGCTGGCCTGTCGGACGAAGGGCAGAGCTGTGTATATTGTGAGTAGCTCTCCTGTCACTCCCATTGGGTACAGCACGATGAAAAGTGTGTATCTGAAACAGAACGGAGCCCTCACTGAGTGTCCAGAGGCATGTTTACAAGCACCGCCTTCTCAGAAGGCTAGTGTCTGCAGCTCCCCATCACCCCTTTATACTCAGCCTTTATACTGCAGTTTTTGAAAGGGGCTATTGTAGGTTCCCAAATGTCTACAAATGTTCTAAAGCAAAGTGAATGTGTCAGTCAGCCTTGAAACTTGGCTCCTTCAGAACATGCAGCTTTAGAACAATGGAGGTAGAAGAGGGGCATTAAACTATAACAAGGGCCTTCCTTCCCTGTGGGGCCAGAGAGGAAGGAGATGGAGCAGCCATCCAGGAATCCCTAAGGCATGCCAAGCTGCATGTGGACTGAAGAAGACAGCACATCACACAACTACAGTCTGTTATTTCCCAAATGTCCTTACAAGCTACTGTGAAAATAAAATCTTGACTAATTTTAGAAAACACCTAATAGCTTTGAATTTTACAAATAAATTACTATTGCATGAGAGGTTCACACAATTATTTTCATTTTAAAAAGTTTTATCTCGGCCGGGCGGTGGTGGCGCACGCCTTTAATCCCAGCACTTGGGAGGCAGAGGCAGGCGAATTTCTGAGTTCGAGGCCAGCCTGGTCTACAGAGTGAGTTCCAGGACAGCTCGGGCTATACAGAGAAACCCTGTCTCGAAAAACCAAAAAAAAAAAAAAAAAAAAAGTTTTATCTCTTTTAAAAGAATTCAGAGGGAGCTGGAGAGAAGGGTCAGTGACTAAGAGCACTTGTTGCTCTTGCAGAGGACCAGGGTTCAATTCCTAAGCACAGATGTGGTGGCTCACAGCCATCCATAATTCAGGTTCCAAGCAATCCAAAGCCTCTTGTGACCTCTGCAGGCAGCAGGCATGTATGTGGCACACAAACACACATGCAGACAAAATACTCATATACATCTGAGGCATCACCGTCCCTGTGGAAACTGTCAGCTCAGATTTAAGAAAACTGTACCTGTTTATGGCTCAAGATTAACCTGGATTAAGCTTCCAGGCACAAGTATCTGCCGAGAAACAAGTCAGAGTCCCTGTTGCCAACCTAGATCATTAGGCAGAGGGAAAGAACTGCCCATAGACCACAGAGAAAAATAAGCCAAAGAATTCTCTGAGAATAAAGTCACAGCTCAGCCAACAAGTGTCCCCACAAACAGCCTCCATGGCAGTGCAGGTTGGTTGGTTCTTAGCTGTTAGTTTTCCCTTCTTTTTTCCACCCAAATATAGTCTATTAGAAAAAAAAAAGGAAGAAAAAAAAAAGCAAAAGATTCACACCCCTGAAATGTTGGAAACTGGATTCTGTTTCTAATCCAGTCACTAAGCTCATACACTGTGTAGTAATAACTGTTTTCTTTTTAGGAAATGGGGTGTCTTAGCTCCAAAGCCAGCCTGGACCTTTCTGCTCTGTCCTCCTCACCCCACAGGCCTTCATGCAAAATCACAACTGGATAAACAGATGTGCCATCAGCCTTTTGTCCAGGTCATAATTCAATTTTGTTACTGTTGTTGAGACCAGAATTTATGGCAATTTTCCTGCCTCAGCCTCTCAAATTCTGGGATTACAAAGGGATGAATCACCATGCCTGAATTCATTCTTTCTTTGTTTCTTTCTTTAATGTGAGTAAGTACACTGTTGCTGTATTCAGATACACCAGAAGAGAGAGAGAATCAAGTCAAGACCCTACTGGTGAAACCCTTCCATCTCATCCAATTTTAGTTTTGGGAAGCTGGAGGCAATATTCAGGCAATAAAAGGCAAGTATGGCGTGGGGTCTTACAAAGTCAGTACTTGCTGTATGTGCTTCTTTACCTGGCCCATTTGATGACGTAAGGCAAATGGTTTAGTAGACTGAATGTGTAAAAGGAGTAACGGGTAATTTCTGTGATGGTCCAGGCAATAACAAACAGAAGTACACTGTCTTCACTCTGCACCTGGGGAGAAGAAAAGAGATGTAAGAGCAGACAAAGGAAGGTGTGCAAAGGCGTTTTATAGTGTGCAGAGCCTGCAGGGCTGCCCGGCCACAGCCACCCATCTGTCCTCAATGGCTGTAGCACAGCTTAGAACGAGCTTGCTGATCAAGGACACAGTACCTACAACAGTTCTGTGGAGGCACGTGACAGGAGGAGACTCAGCTTGTGATCAGTAGGAGCTGCTGGGAAGGGCACTGGATGAGCAGGAGCCCTCAGGAAGAGAGAAATACAGCAAGTTTCTTAGCTATGCTGATAAGGAAAAAGTGAGGTGGTAGGAGTCAGAAGTAGGCATGGAGAGGAGGCTTGGAGGACAAGTGGGTGGGAAGCTTGGGATTTATCACCAAGAATTTGAGTGCAATTAGTGTGACAGCTAGGAATCTGAGGACATTTCCAGACGCAAATGTGAGGATTAAAGCACAGGTGGGTGGGATGAACTCACGGGAAGAAGAGGTACAGACCATCTACCAGGCAAGCGCTAATGCTGGGCACTGATGACGCCTCCCCCAAGCCCAGGCTTACAAGCTCTGTGAGGAGACAAGCTGCCTGGTTGCTCGCAGGAGGCAGCTAGAACCAGAAGAAGTGACACTGTCTGTTCTTATGTTGGAAAAATGATGAAAAAAAGGTGAAGTCCCCTTACATGTGTGTTAGGTGCTGTCCCAGGGGAATTTATGGCTGTAATAGACTCCAGCACCTTTCTATCCCACTCTGAGTTTATAATGATCCTTAGTGAGCAAAACCCAACAGACAAGCTTGCACTGTGATTCACTTCGGTTTCCCATGTCCTACATGGTTGGTGAGTTAGAAGTCCTACTTAGTGAACTGAGCAGACTACTATGTGCTGATTTCTCTCTCATCCAAACCCTCTAGTGACAAGGGTGCAGTGACCCTGCCTTCACTTTTGCTTCTCTCCATCTGCAGAACCAACAGTTTTTAGCACTTCCATTCTTTCTCAGAAAGTGTACATGAAGCAATCCACCTACACAGTGAAATAAGTCGTCATTTACATAGCTATTAACTAAATTGCCCTGACAAAGAACTTCATAAATACATGGTTACTACTCTCTAAAAATACTAAGAATTCATACTGTCAAGAGCAAGAGTACTTTTTACTTTCCTGGTGATTTTCTATTAGCCACAGTAAGGCCAGAGCTAAGTACCTTTAAAGCTCACCCTGAGGGCCCCAGTCTGCATATGAAGCTTTACTTAAAGCCTATGGATACCAAAAATCTAAGTTTATAGGATGTATTGCTTTTCATGGACTTTGTAACCCTCGTTATCTGACAGTGATGTATGTTTTTTTTTTATAGATTTATTTTATTAGTATTATTTTTTACAGCTGTGGCTGAAATCTGGCATAAAGACTTCCGACAGGCAGCTCCTCCAGTGTTCTGTACTCTACCTCATCTGGAAGCCGAGCATGTGCCTTAACTCATCTTTTGTTTCCCCACAGCACTTGGTGCTTTTCACAGGAAAGAGCTTTACAACTATCTGTGAAGCAAAGGGATCCAACCTACTCAGCTCACACTAAGACCCAGATCCCTTCTTTTTAATACCTAATATTGGTTTGTGTCATCTTAGTGGGCTGCACATAGACAGGTAATAAAGAAGCAGATCTCTCAAACCTCTCACTTTGATCTAGCCGACAGGGAGCCTGAAGGAACAGACATTGTTTTCTCCTTACACTTACTCTTTCAAAGGTCAGGATTACGGAAATGGCCACGTTGAACAATTATAACTGCAGATCAATAATAAGATGGAATTTGGAGAGGTAGAGAGACGGCTTAGATGTTAAGAGTATTTCCAGAAGGACCTAGGCTCAATTCCAAGCACCTACATTGTGGCTCACAATCATCCTTAATTCCAGTTTCAGAAGATCTGATACCATTTTTTTGTCCTCTGTTGTCACCAGGGACACACATGGTACACAAACATACATGCAGACAAAACACTCAAATACATAAAATTAAAACAAGAAGAAATTTGAATAAAGTCAGAGATAAATCTTTCTGATTTGTAGAAATTATCCAGTAACAAAGAACAAGGACAAAATGTAATGGGTTAAAACCAACAAGAAGACCAACAAGACTTGAACTGGTATCTGTAAGTCATATCACAACAGTCAAAAGGTGGATGAAGGCTGGAGGCTCTGGGCGCTGTCATGGCGGGCGTACTGAAGAAGACGACTGGCTTGGTGGGATTGGCGGTGTGCAACATTCCACACGAGAGGCTAACAATATTGTATACCAAGATTCTTGATCTTCTGAAGCACTTTCCTAAACATGCAGCCTATAGAAAATACACAGAGCAGATCACCAATGAGAAGCTGGATATGGTCAAAGCGGAACCAGATGTTAAAAAATTAGAAAATTTGCTTCAGGGTGGTGAAGTAGAAGAGGTGATTCTTCAGGCTGAAAAAGAACTAAGTCTGGCAAGAAAAATGTTGCAGTGGAAGCCATGGGAGCCGCTGGTGGAAGAGCCGCCGGCTGACCAGTGGAAGTGGCCAATATGATCAGTGTCTGATGATGGATGTGAATTAAATGTGCAATTAAATATTCCGTGATGGAAAAAAAAAAGGTGGACGAAGCCAAGAGTCCATCAATGGTGAATGTGTCAACAACTGCATGCATGCATGTATGTGCACACACATAATACAAAATATTATTAAGCTTTAAGAAAACTCTTACACATGATGTTACAACATAGATGAATGAACCTTGAAGAATATTATCAGTTAAATATGTCATCTACAAAAAAACAAACACTGTTTGATTCCATTCACAAGCAGCATGTGAGTGATCAATTCTGAGATAAGAAAAGTAAAAACAGAATGTTGCTAAGGAGTTGGGCAGGAAGGGGGGGAGATTACTGTTTAACTAGTAGAGTCTCAGTTTGGGAAGTTGAAGAAAATTCTGCAGATGGAAGGCAATCATGGCAATGTACTTAAAGTAACTCTAAGGTACACTCAAAAAGTAACCAAAATGGTAAATGTCATACATATTTCACCACAATAAAAATAAGTTAAAAATCTAACTATGTCAAAGTCAACATAAAGAAATGTAAAGTCTTCTAAAATTCAACAGCAAAATGACTTCAGAATAGTCTGAAGAATACTCTGGCTCATGAACCCAAGAGATGGGAGCCAACAGGGTATGAGGGTATAAAACATATGCTTAGCACTCAGCCACTTACTACTACAGTCTTGTCCCCATGACTACATTCTCAATAGATCAGACCCAGCTAGGAAGCAGAGTCTGTCAAAAGAATACTTGTGCTAGCTAGCAGAGCTAGCCTGGAACAGGAAACAGAGAGCATGTACTTTAAAGTACGTAAGAAGGACACCATAACTATGAGCTAATGGTTAAAAGCAAAAGGAATAAGACGTTGGTCTGAGATTAGAAAACCAACCTAACAAAGCAGCTGGCCAAGAATACCTGCTACCTTCTAAATTCTGGTCCTTGGACTTAAATCCACAGTCGGAGTCCAGGACCAAGGAAGAATCCTACAGAGACTGAGTGAGCTGAGTGGGAGCTGCCTTTCCCCATGTGCTGAGGGTGGGGAGAGACACAACCAGCAACTCAGCTATTTCAAATTAAGAAATAGAGAGATACAACTTTATTATCAAGAATAAGAGGAGTTTGGTGAATATACAGAGGTCAAGCTGGTGTCTGCACAGGTGGAACCTTCATCCCTACATTCCACCCACTTTGGTGTGGGAAGGTAGATTACAGGCTGCCAAAAGAGAACCTCCAAACCTTCAACTTATAATTGTTCTGCCTACAGCATGTGCTGGGGCAATGGTAGCACACAACTTGTGGGAGTGGCTAAGCAGTGTCTGGTTTAACTTGAGGTCTGTGTTATTGGACAGAACCCACTGCCTGGATGGCCAGGAACTATAAACTGGACAGCCCAGACACCTAGGGTAGAACCAAACACAACAGGCCAAACAAAACCACAAGCAATGAAATGATTATTAATGATATTCTCTACACCAGTGCCTTGTCCAGTTGCTATCAGAGAGGCTTCCTCTGGCAGCAGATGGGAGCAGATGCAGAGAAATGCAGCCAGAAATTATGCAGAGAGAGTCTTATTAGAGGTCTCTGTCTAGTCCCTCCTTTTGGGGCTTGAGGAATCCCATGGAAGAGGGGGAGGAAGGACTGCAGGAGTCAGAGGAGATGGAGGATACCAGGAGGACACGGCCCACTAAATCAACTAAGTAGGGACCATATGAGTTAGAGACAGGGCCTGTTGTAAGAGTCTGCACCAGGTCCTCTGTGTATATGTTATGGCTGCTAGTTTGGTGTCTTTGTGTGACTTCTACTTCAGTGGGAGTTGGTATATCCTGACTCTTTTGCTTCTCTCAAGACTCTTCCTCTTGTTAGATTGCCTTGTCCAGTTTCAGTATGAGGGCCTTTGTCTTATCTTATTTTGTTATGTTTGTCTCCTGGAGGCTTGTCCTTTCTGAAGGAAAACCAAGGGGGAGTGGATCTAGGAGAGGGGAGGTTGAGGGGAGATGGGAGGAATGAAGGGATGGGAAACTGTGGCCGGAATGTAGTGTATGAGAGAAAAGAATCTTTTTCTAAAAAAAAAAAAAGAGAGAGAGAGAGAGAGAGAGAGAGAAAAGATTAAGAGATTTAAAGCTGAGTATACACTGATAATCCTAGCACTCAGAAGGCTGAGGCAAGAGGATCCTATTTGAAGTCAGCCTAAGTTACATAGTAAAATTTAAAAAATGGGGGGAACATGCAAATATTCATAGAAGTGTCATAATTCATAATTGTGAAAAAAGTTTAAACTGCTGAAATATCCACTAACCAGGGACAGATAATATATTCATACAACAGAATATGATTCAGCAACATGAAGGAAGGAATGTGCTATAACACAGAGGAGTTAAAACAAACCAACAAAAACATTCATCATGCTGTGTAAAAGAAGCCATTTGTAAGTATCTAGAATTTGGAGACAAAAAATGATGGCTGGAGCTGGAAACACCACTGAACTCTAAAAGGGCACAAAGCATCATATTATGGTGATGGAATGTTCTAAACTATATTAAGGTATATTGCTTGTACAACCTGGTAAATTTGCCATAAAATAGTGGATACCTAAAATGGTGAATTTTTAAAAATTACAATTAATTTTGAAAATTAATAAAGTTGTTTTAAAAAACCAAGATTTTCTATAAATAAATAATACTGACTTTTAAGAGGGAAAGGGGGAAAGGGTAATAGCTGGGATTGATTAAGGCTTAGAAAGGACAGAGAGCAGGGTAGGGCAGTCATCCACAGGGTCTCTAGCCTAGGCCTCAGACTTCCTATGTGGCTGAAGATGACCTTGAATTTCTGATCCTTTTGTCTGCACCTCTTGGATGCTGGATTATAGGAATGCACCACTATACTGGTTTACGTGGAGGTAGGGTTCGAATTGAGGGCTTTGTACATGCTAAGCAAACAATATGTTAACTGAGCCACTTCCATGTCCCCCAAGTGTCTTGCAGGCAGCTGTTTGTCAGAGGTGCATGTTCATAATGAAGGCACACAGAGAGTTAGCAGAGGTACCTCACTGGTGCAGTATGCTAGATCCCACTGCACACCACAGGCACTGGTTCCTATCCCTGATCTGAAGCCAGGAAGGAGGTAGCGTGTAGGTGGCTTGTGTGGTTTAGCCAAGGGAGTTTACACAGAAATCCAAGCTGGAAAAACAAATGGGCACAAGAGAAAAACCTTTATGCACAAATAGCATCATATGTTTGACTTTAAAAGGCACGGGGACTATCAGCGCATGGAAAGCTGTCACTTTTGTTACATTCAAAGAAAAACAGATGGTGCACACAAGAAAGCCACTATTATAGAAACCCCATTCTTCTTAGTACTTTGAAACCTGCTGTTTATCACTCCATTTATTTCAAAGAACTTCTGAGACTAAGCTTTATGGCAAGCCTTCTTTCCTCTTCTTAATACCCCTTTCTCTGGGAAGAGAGAAGACAGGAGGCGAGGAAGTGATGTGATAAGGTTAAAGTAAAATATGGGCTGGGACTAGAGGCTGTTCTTGGAACACCATGCATGGAGAGTGTCTGTCTCTTAGTGTGCCCCAGCAAACTGCCTGCCCTAGACAATGGAAGTCAGTTCTCTCACAGCTCCCAGAGGCTGGAGGCTGGAGCTGGGGGGCAGAATCTCTGGCTGTGACTTGCCGGTAGCTACCTACCTTTCTGATGCAGCCTTACATGAGGGTGGAGAAGGAAGCTTTTTAGTATCCTATAAGGAAACTAGTTCTTTATGACCTTAGCCAAATGTAACTGTTCTCCAAAGGCTCCTGTCCATATACCATCAACACTAGGATCAAGTCTTCAACACAGCATCTGGACAATGCATTTGCCACCTGTACAGACAGGGGCACTATGTGGTCCAAAGCAATGTTCTAAGCCAAGTATTTCTCTGTAAGAGAGGCCCTATAGAGCAAATAATTTGGGTTGTGCATGAATAAAATCTTTAAAAAAAATCTTGGTTGCTTTTTATACTACTTGAAAAAAATGTAAAATGGCCAGGTATGGTGGAACATGTCTTTAATCCCAGCACCCAGAGGACAGAGGTAGGTGTATCTCTGTGACTTCAAGGCTAACCTGGTTTACATAGTAAGTTCCAGGCCAAACAAGACTATGTAGTGGTGAGGCTGTTTCAAAAAGAAAAAAGAAAAAAAGAAAGAAAGAAAAAAAAAGAAAAAAGAAAAGAAAGAAAGAAAAAAGGAAAAAAAGAAGGTGGGGCGTGGTGGCATACACCTTTAATCCAGCCTGGTGTACAGTGAATTCCAGGATAGCCAGGGCTATTACACAGAGAAACCCTGTCTTAAAAAACCCCAAAACAAAAACAAAACAAAACAAAACAAAACAGCAACCCAACCCAAACCAACCCCACCAAACCCCCTGCAGGCTCAATTTGACCATCTATGACCCTATCAAAGATTCATTTAACTTCTCAACTTTGCCTATGATCCTACGATCCCTCTTTACCTTGCAAATGGTGTCTTCCCGGTATTCCTTTTAAAGGCTGAATCTGAAGGACAGGAGTGCAGTCAATATAATTTTCTCATTTGATAAATGTGTCCTGAGGTCATTTCTTCATGCAAATGGCACAATGCGTTTGTGTAAATCTAAGTGATAAACTAGAATGCACACCTACAGTGTATAACCAACCGCATGTCCTGTACTTGTGTAAGGTGGAGGCTTACATCAGAATCACCACACACGAGTCACTGGCAACAGTCTGTTCAGCTCCATTTTGTGATCTCTGCTGTGCTGACCAAAATGATGGTCTATGATACACACTATGTCTACAGCTAAGACACTGTAGGAAAGGAAGTATTCATGCAAGACTACACATAGGCCAGCTGTTCACATCAGAGCATCTTAGGATATCCTGTGCTTACTGCGTTTGTTCCTCTTTGTTGGAAAAATGAATGCCTATTCAACTTCTTTGCTTATCCTTTTCAATAGCTATATAGGCAACAATAAAGCTATTATATTGATGGTCTGAACTCTCATGCACCAAGTGCTTCTGTGCATAAACTGCCTC